ATGCTTCAGACAAATATCACCTGCAGTACTATTCCAGTAAATATTTTCATATGTCCCAAGAAGGAAGTGTGCAGTGAAAGCTCCTGTGGAGCTGGAAAGAAATCTGATCATTTTCTGTAGCAACTGTCAACTATGAGCTGTGCCGAGTTGTAATTGCCCTTCAGAATTTCTTTTAAACAAGAACAATTTATCTGAAAGAGCTACATAAATGTATACAAAATAGTCTGACTGCCTTCTTTCATGTAGATTTGACAATATTAAATATTCAGAGAGGAAAACTGTACTATTTGAGCCTTTCCAATCACAGTAATTTTACTCTGCTTTATAACCAGCACAAGGAGTTGGTTTGCTGTACTGCAACAGAGCAGGACTACCATTTTAAGCAGAAGTATGTTAGATGTCCAGAACCTATTTGGACAAACCCAGTCTGAGAAAAATAGCTTAAGTGAGTGGCCACAATGAAGTGTTCATTGCTTAAGGGCCTTGAAGTAGTTATAAAAGCATTCTTGCTAAACAGTGAGCTTCGAGTTGCAGGAATAATTGACAAGGTAGCTTTGCCTTTTAATACTCAAGTGACACCTATATGTATGTATTATTTATGTATCATCTATTAGTATACTCTACTAGCAGGTGTCTCAAGTTTGACAGCAGCTCAACCAGACATGCTGTACTTCGTACATGAATAGTAACAGTCCCCTGAGGAAGAAAATAACCCCCCAGTCACCCACAGCACATAGTTTTGCTGGACCAACTGCATCCTGCAGCAAGCCCTAGGCCTGCCAGTCAGGACCAAGCTCACTCAGCTCCCCATGTCTGATGCAGACAGACCTGCAAAACTGGGCACAGATTCATTTCCTTTGAGATACTCAAATACTATATCTTTCTCTTTCTGAGGAGACACTTTAGTGACCAGAGATTGAAATATTCATGAACCAAACCCTAAAAATCTTGCAATATTATGGCCTTGCACATTTACACCAACTGACAGAGTTGGAGGCACCAAAGTTACTCTGGTGCTCAAAAATTCCAGCTATTCTTCTGTTACAATAGGCCTTTCCCAAATAGTGGCCAGGGTGTAACGGCAAGGTGGTCACCAAGGGAAAGCAGGTCCTGAAGGAAGCACAGGTCCCTGAGGAATTCTAGCAACAACACAATCGTTCCTGTGCTACATCAACAGTATTTTGAACTGAAATATGCCATTATACCCAAATTAGTCCATTACACAATTAAGCCTCCCTTTCAGGAAGGGACAGTCTTAATTCCTTCCCAGAGTATTCCGTCTTCCCTATAATTGAAGGGATGGAATCATTTCCAGACCATACAGCACAGCATTGCTGCAAACACACCTGCATCAGCCTTCCAGCACAGAGAGACACAAGTCGCCTGCCTGGGGGGGGCAGGCTGCAGTGCTGAAAGGCGGTAAGCCCACCTCTTGCCTCCGTAAGATTGCCCCCACCGGAGAAACCCCATTGGTGTCTGCCACCAAACAACACCATCCCCCTCCCAAAGTCCTGTCAAGACCCCTCTTTTTCTGGGATTTAACAGGCTTCCCCCCGAACTGAAGGCCCTGCGGGAGGGATAGGGGCAGTAGGACAGCCTACGGCAGGCAGGGCAGGAGCTCACCACAGCCTGAAGCACACGGGGAGGGGGCTGCCGTGTCGCAGGCATCAGCCACGGCGGCAGCAGCATTGTTCACACGGTGACAGGAAGGAAAGAACTAGACTGGACCAGTCCAGACTGGAACAAACCCCTCCTACCATCACCATTATTCACAACCCCCCACCTCCCCCCCCCAACACCGCTGCCTCACGCATTATCCAGGGAAGAATAGCGGGCAAGTGCAGCGTCCTCAGAGCCAAAAATCCCACAGCCAGGGTGAGGGCAGAAGTGGGGCAAGCATTCCCACCCCAACCCACCGCCATGCTGGAGCCATGCATCTGGCTGGGAGGGCTGGCAGGTCTAACTCGCTTTACTGGACACCACACGGTGTCTTCATTCAAGGGGGGCTACATTCCACTAGGACTACACGATCAAATTCCGTTCAGCCACAGGAGACTGCTGCAGAGGTCTGAAACGCAGCGCTTCTCCTGCCTACTGCACGTGTTAGCTGTGCAGGATTTTGCACTGCAGGAGATGCACTTCAAAAAGGCTCAAAAGTTGATTTAAATTCACTTTCCTCCCTCCTCACCACAAGCCAGGTTCCCTCAGGACAGACGCACGTTCCTGAACTCAGGATGAGCCCATACTGCTGACTGGAAAAGACCTGCAATGCTGTCTAGTAAGGAGTCATTGTGGCATCCTCATGGGCCACACCAGCCACGTTCCTGCTTTTGCACTGTGCCCCTTACACATGCATGAGTCCCCTGCTCCCACACCATACTTTCAGCTCTCTTACAACCAGTAAACAGCCATCTCTGATGACTTCTCTCTCACCAAAGAGGGAACGGCACTGCAGCAAGCACACACTCATGCTCAGGATACCCTGACATCCAAGTGCACATGTTTTACACACACAGAGCCAGCAACTGAGCAGTGACTGGACCTTTTTCTCCATATTTTCCGAGAGCCACCAGTACAGCAGTGACTGACCAGACCACAAGGACTGATGGAGGCAGCTAAACCAAAGAGGCTGAGGCTTAACAAAGAGACTTCCAGAAGGACTGGCAGCACCAAACCTGCTGCTGCTACACTAACACATTGACCAAGCAGAGAGGGAAACGTGTCCTTGAGATGACCAGCAAACATCCACAGCAAACGGGGGGGGGACTTCTAACAGGAGGGAAGAGTTCCACTTCCCATAGGCTGGAGGACCCATGGCATGAAGGCAATTTGCCCCGTCATCCCAGCACTCGTCCCGGAAAGCGTCACTTGTGCAATGCCCTCGCCCCTTGTGTAGTGCCTTGACAGCTCACGCTGCTGTCCTGATCCATGGTGTGCTCCCCTGTGCACCGTGCCGAGGGGAACGGGTGAGGCCTCGTGCGGGCACCCCTCAGGTGAGAGGCAAAGACGAGAGTGACAGCGGGAGCCCGGATGGATAGTTACGGTTACAGACACACAACATGGCCTCTGAGAAGCAGGCAAGGAGCCGCCGCAGCCGTGCCAGAAGCACTTCTCCAGCCTTTCTACCCCTGTCACCCAGGCCAGCCCGGAAGCATGTCACACTGCTACTCCCCCCGGCCTCAAGGAGCATCCTGCGTACGGGAGCACCCGAGAGGACGGGATCTGCCGGGACCCGCATGGAGCTCCCGAGCCCGGCAGCTGCCACAGAGCACGGTGACGGCATGCCGAGGTCCGGAGCAGCCCCTCTCCTTGAGGGGCCCAGGCGAGGATGCCCCTCGCCCCCTCCACAGGAAGAGCCTCACTGCGAGAGGTAGCAACGCCCGAGGGGTACGGGTATCCCGCCGCGGGGCACTGCCCGGCTGCTGAGGGGAAAAGACACCACACAGCCCCCCTCCGCAGGAATCCGCCATGTTAGGGCGGCCGCCGAGCCCCCTTTCCCCGCAGAGCCGGAGGCCCCGCCACCTTCCCGTGCCCTGCGGAGCTGGGGGAGAAGAACGAGCAGCGGTCCTAGCACAGCCCTCGCCCCGGTTCCCGGCCTCCTGCTCCCGCCTCGCCGCCTCTCTCACGCAGGGCTGTCCGCCATGTTAGCGTGGCGGCCGCTGACCCCCTCCACCCGCCGCCACAGACACACTCCGGGGCACTGTCGACCCCGGCGCCCGTGTGCTTCCTCCCCGGGCGGCGGCCCCGCATCGCCCAGCGCCTCGCTGCGCGCCGGAGAAGGGGGGGAGCCTTGGCTCTGACTCATGCTGCCGCTCTCCATCTGCCGCCGCCGGTGGCAGCCGGTCTCGCCCCACGCCGCCGGGCGGAGAAAGGGCAGCAGGAGGAACCGGCCTCATCCCCATCCCCCTCCCCGCCCGGTACCGCCACGGCGACCGGTGGCAGTGCTGCCCGCCGGCTGCCCCTCCCGAGTGCTGCGGCCACCGCTCCCATTCCCCGCCTCGCGCTTGGGGAACTATGGCCTGTCCCTCCCAAGCCCCGGGGAGCGAAGAGCTCCTCCACTGCCTCCCGCCGCTGGTGTCAAAGGACGCCCCAGCTCGCTCCGGAGCTCAGGGTGGGTGTCACCGCCCCTTCCCTCCCTCCCGCCGTCTCCCCCACTGCGGGGCGAGCCCCATCCTGGCTGGGACCCCGGCAGCGGTACTCACGTGAGATAACGGCCTGAAAGATTTGGTAAATCGTCTTCTCTTTTTAGGCGGAATTTTTAAAGAGGGATGTGGGAACCTACAGCAGAAATACAGGCGGCGGCAGCGGCGCCTTCCAGGGCCATAGGCTGCGGGGGCGACCGACTGGGGAAGCGCAGCGCAGCGCTCGGACGAGAGGGCACAGACACAGAGAAACAGAGCCGGAGCGGGCCGGGGGGAGCGGGGCTGCTGCAGCTGTGCACAGAGACAGGAGCGCGGCTACCAGGCTGCGAGGCGAGCGGCGGGGCGAGGAGAAGGGGGCCGCCGCCGCAACGCTCTTATAGGGCGGGCGGGTGGGGAGGGACCCGGAGCCACGCGTCACCGCACCGCGGGCGGGAGGCGCCGCCGCCGAAACCAGCCCTCCGGCGGCGGCGAACTGGGCATGCGTCGAGTGCCGCCGGCGGGCCGTGGGGATGGCCGTCGGTCTCGCCGCCCCAGGTGGGGGCACCAAGGCGGTCCTAGTTCTGCGGCCGGGGTTGGGCCCGAGGGATGCCACCCGACCTGGCCCTACCTGACCCGGCCGGCGGGGCTGGTGGCCCAGGGGGATCGCCGTCTCTGGCGGGAGAGGCCGGGGTCTGTCGATGGTGCTTGCGGACGGCAGGGGCCAGGCAGGGCTCGACTACAGTTATCCCTCGGGACGCAGGGCAGGCGGTTGCGGGCTCGTGAGTTCAGGTGCCAACTTGAGCCTGTGTTTCAGGGATGGTTTCCACAAACCCAAGACTCATCGTCCTGTGTCACTACATAGCTGAGCAGGTGGGAAGGGAAGCCAAGTGTTAGTGGCCAGCCAGGAGTCTGGTTCCCCAAGTTAACAGCATCCGAATAATTTGCACTGATTCACTGAGCATTGCTAATCTGTTAATAATGCTCAGTAGAAGCTCTAATCACACTGCATACCTGGCAGCCTCAGTGAATTTCGTGTGTCTTACAGTACTTACATAAGCACTTGAACTGAAGGATTTAGCTGACCCACATATTTAATGGAATTTTGCTGAAGCACTGGGACACCTTCAGCATTTCCCGAAGCCTTTAGTACTTTCATAACACCTTTGTGAGGAAGCGCCAGCTGCAAGTAGAAAAGAGCCACTCAGACATCAAGTGCCTCAGTCAGAGGTAACAGAACTGTCCCATGGTGGGGCTGAGGATGCACCCTGACCTGCCACCCCCACTCTGCCATGTCAATCTTATAAAACCACACAGGGCTGTTCTTTAAGAACTCATTCCAGTAATCAAAATTCTTTCTGGACAATAAAATACATAGTAATGTAGTTCACTGAGACCAGCAAATGATATACTTGTTCAGAAAAGTAATTGTTCATCTCAGGACACGTTAATTTTATTTTTAGAAAGGTGTGTTCATACAGTTTGTGTATTTTTTTTTTCCAAAGCAAAGCTGGGTTTGTTTAATTTTCTAGCAGACAGAATTCGGAATAACGGACAATAGATACACACCTGTCATCTCCAGAAAAAAAAGTGAGACTGAGGTTTCACAGCATGCAGGAATGGAGCTTGTCTACTCTTTTCATCTGTTGTCGCCTTCCCTTTTGCCAATAATTTTAGATGAGGAGGAAGTGAACTGATAAATATATGCAGTCTCACTGCAGTCTTTCCTGGTAACAGTGCTAGTAGGTTATGGATGAAGTCAGTCAAAGCAGGCACGTTGATTAGAAAGTCAGAAGACTTCTCACATACACTTGCAGCAAACCTTGCACTGAGGACTAAAAATGGAGTGGTTTACATCACTCTTTTCTGAGGTGTGATCTGTATTGCACCCTTTATTTGGGTTCCTATTCCAGAATATAAGTGCAGGAGGAAGAATCAAGAGTATACTAAAAAAAAACAACCCAAAATCCCCAAACAAAAGAAAACACCAACAAACAAACACCCAACACCAAACAAACTAAACCAAACAAAAAAAACTCCAACCCAAACCGCAAAATCTATGGAGACTCAGGAAGAGAGATTTGGACAATGCACAATAAATGTGAATCATTAACAGGTAATGAAAGGAGGAAGGGTTGTCCTTGGAGGACAAGGGTTAGAGGGGAGGGCACATGTTACAGTGATATACACAGAGGAGCAATCCAGAAAGCTGTATTCTTTAGGAAGGTAGATTTTTTTAAAACACATTTTTGGAAGGGATTTAAACTAGAAAAAAGACTTGACTAGTTTGGAGGCATTTAGGTGCAGCCAAAAAGTGATCCATCAGGGAAAAGACAAAGTCAGTACTGGTTCTATGATGAACTGGTTTTTATCTGTGTTCTAAGACATCTCCTGATGGTAATATCCAAAGATATCCCAGCAGTGATATAACTGACACAATAGTTACTGCCTCCTCATCTACATTCATCTTCCCGAAAGAGTTTTTATTTTGGTAAGTAGGGGATGTTTTTAATATTCTTACCAGAAGTAAGAAAACAGGTGGACTATTTAAGAGGGGAGGACAGTCACGTAGGACAGGAAGAAGAACTTCAGTTTGATATGCAATTAATTGGGGGCACTGTCAGCTATTTTAAAATGTATGGTGGGAGTGAGGATTTCCTGCTCGTATGGAGGAAGCAACACTTGACAACAGTAACATAAACTTCATCCTCTTAAATCTAATGGGAAAAAAAAAAAAACAGAGTGGCACACTGTTTGGGACAGTACAAGATTGAACTGTGTAATCACTGTACACAAAATGAACACAAATTGATGGGTGAATGCTTTATACAGTATTTTCACTACCACTGGTGATACTAATGCAGAACTAGAAAACTAATGCCACAGCTCAATATATGTATATTTTTAGTACAGTGCTACACAAGACAACAGTCCTGTTTTGTCTGGAGAGGGAAAATGTGAAAAAACTAACATAAAATTTTCTTCTGCCTCTTTAACATTTCTCTACCCTCAGTTTTAGTACTTGGATTCCTAACCTTGTACAGCTCCATATCCACATTTCATAGATTACTAGAGTAACAATCTGCATTTTGTTCCCCAAAGATAAAAAGGCAGCAGACCACAAAATATGTGTCCAGCCGTGAGTTCCCCTTACTTCCAACTGTGAGGCACTTCTACCACATTTCTGGTTTTTTGCCTCCACACTTCCTTTTCAGCACTGTTCACAGTTGGATGTAGACAAAATCAGGTGTTATTCCTATGACGCAGATAAACCAGAGCAGGAAGGACGCTCTTCCCCACCTCATCTTTTAGAGTGCAAAAAAATACTCGCTGGTGAGGCAACCCAGCGGTCAGGAGTTTCAGATTGGTTTGGACAGATGTCTGAAGCTGCATAGCCCAGTGACCTTTCCTGCTAATTCCAAGTATTTCCTTCTTTTTATGTCTTCCTACAGGCTACCTCTTCTCTCCTCTGGTTCTTCCATTTCCTCCCCCTCTCTGATGCACCCTCTATCACCAGGCATCAGCAGCGGGGTCGGATTCCACTCCTGCAGTGAGAGAATGAGATTATTTCCTTCTCCATCTCCTCTTCCTCTTCCCCCACTGCTGCCAACTCCTGCAGCAGTATTTTTTCTTAATGCCTCAGGTGCAGGAATTAGGTGATTACACAGGAATTTCATCTTCCATTGAGATTAAAATGTCCCTAGCTACTGAAAACCTAACACAACAGAAGACAAATACAAATAGCAGTCCACCTCTGGATGTAGGGAAAAGGTTGTTTCCATTTCTGAATGCTTGAACTTGACAATATGCTCCCTGTTCTGGCTCTTCTTACATGCAGTGGCAATTGGTGCCAGTGTAGTTAATGCTGTGTGGCCATCCAGCCAGAGCACTCAGCTGTTGCAGTGCGAGGAAAGAATCAGTCCAAATTATATTTCTGTCTGAGCTGCTTAGGGCAGGAACGCCTGTGCACAGGGAGGCACAAGGAAAGGAAAATGAAGGCTGTGACAGCTCTGAACCCCTCGTGCCCACAGTGCTGTAGAAGTACTAGAGCTCCAGTAGTCCCTCTTTTTAGTAAAACAATCTATATAAATAGGACTTCATGGAAGTAATGTCAGTTGATACTCTGAGCTTCAGACCCTTTTCATTGCTGCACACTGGAGTTTCTCCTGTCCAGTTGACAGAAATACTGATAACCAGCTGGAGGAATGATTCATGATCATTAAAAGCCCAGAGGTGGTGGGAGGAGAGTCATCTCTGCCTTAACTCATACGGAGCAGTTGCCTCTCACCTATATTTACTGAGCAGTTTGCTGAATCAAAACAACTGAGGCAGAAATAAGGTCCCAGCTTTTCAGTTTGGATTAGTTTGGCTTCGGAAGAGTGAGTTTAAGTGTAATTTCTATGGAGAATAGTTACAGAATAGATCTCATACTTGTGCTAAGTTGTTTACACAAAATTAATGGAATCACTAGCTCAAAACACTAAAGATATCACAAGTAAATAAAATTAAATTTGGGTTGTTTTACAAAATCAAGGCTGGAAGGAAAAAGGAGGAAAAAATTCAGTCTTGGTTTAGGAGTAGCCAGCAAAATACCATAAGCTCCTTTAAATCCAATGCTAGAATGTTTTCACCTCCAAAAAAATCTAGACTGGGTGGGCAGAGACTGAAAGAAAATGTCTGTCAACTAAATATTTGAGCTACTAAATAAGGACTACTGAAGAGAATATTCAAATATGAGCATTATTTGAGAGTCTAGCCACCTGCATGCCTACTCCACATGAACTGGTAAAGAAAACTGGAAAGTTTTAAGTATCTGCAACATGATATGGACTTTTTAGTGTTAGGAAATGTGCCCAAGTTCAGCCCAGGTTAGAAATTAATTGGGCTCATTACATGATAGATGTTGAGTTGTGTGTTAATCACACCCATTCTAGTTCCTGCTACCCATGTCTCATGGCTCCTCACTAAAACCTGAAGGATCAGCTGTAGGCTGAGGGCTGGGCTTCTGTGGAACGTATGTATTTTGTTCTCATTACTCATTACAAATATCTCTGGATCTGAGAAGAGGTACGGGGCTTGCCTCTGCAGATAAACAGGAGGTGTTGGTTCCCAGAAGATTGAACTAGTCAGCAGCGATAAGACTATCAACTCGTAAAACACAACAGTCCAAACACTGAAGCGGGATAAAGTGGTCTGTGTACCAGGCAAGGAGGTTAAAAATAAACATATTGTGTGCTGTTACTGGTGGTTACCAAACAGGGAAATTCTTTTTTTTATTAACTTTTCCAAATGAATACTCTCTTGGTTGTTTTTTTGTTGCATTTGCAAGGAATTTTTGTTCCCAGATGTTTATTCTCAGTTCTTGCATAAGTAGCCCTCCCTAAATATGGTCCCAGCTCTATGCAATAATTAAGAGTGGTTTGAGGCTGCTTAGCTTGCTAGCTGTTCTTGTCAGTCACTTTCCAGCTTTGGACAGCTGGACAGCTCCAGAACACGCACATGTTATTCTGGTGATTTCTAGACATAGTGTGCCCCAGCAGCCTCTATCTTTGCTGAGCTTCCATGGCTGGTGGGGCATTTCGTTAAGAGTAAAGACTGTCAGTCTTCAAGAGGAAGATTTCCAGCTAACCCCTGGAGAAGCATTTCCCACTTGCCAATGTCTTTCATCACCCTCCCAGCTCTGAGAGGTGGCGGTGATCTCCCCTTGTCATTCAAGAGCAGTGAGAAGGAAAGTGCTCTCTTGAGATTGCACTCCAGTGCTGTCTGTGATGCCTCCAAATGTGCACCTGCATTTTTCTGTGTCACTGATGATGTTGTCTCACACATTTTGGGGATGAGAGAACCACAAGTCAAAGCAGAGGCCTTTCCCACCAGGGTGAAAAGGGCAGGACTCTTAGACAAAACCCTAGCAAAATCTTTCACTATCTTCAAAGCAAGTGACAATACATTTGAAATAAAATATTTGACCCATATAAGATAAATTCTGTTTACTTTGCTTGCATTAATAGTGTTGCCAGTGTTAGCAGGAGGAAGATGAATAAAATATGCACTACTCATTTTCCCTGCACCTGCATTTTCTCTAACACGTGCATTTTTCACTTAGAATTTGACAGGCTCTTTCAAGAAGAATATTTTTTTTGCCCCATAAACCCCATAGATGATAGGCTGGCAGTAGTGACCAGCATGGAATAATTACCAATGTAACACAGTTAAGGGCATACAGAAGGATCTGCAGGATCCATGTCACTTATCTACAGTAATGAACAGGCTCTGGACCTCTGCATTTGGTCATTAGACCACTACAGTAGTGATGCTGTTGGTATCTGGGGCCTTCAAATGGGTTGTCTGTCAACATGCTTTTGAGACCCTATTTGCATGCAACCAAGTCTGAGCTTCACCTCTAGAAAACTGTGTTTATGTACCTGCTGCTCTTTCCCTCTAGGGACTGGCCCTTAGCTCTAAGATTTGTGGCTTGCAATTTCTTTTTCTGTGGTCCTCAAAAACAGGGAAGGAAATCCCTTTTTAATTTTGCTGGCATTAAGACCCCTGATCTCATTTAGGACTTTAGCCATCCCTGGCTGAAGAATGTGGGGATATGTCCCAAATCAGACATAACATTGTTGGGAAATGAAACAGCAGCTACAGATATCATCTGCTCAGGACACCATGGCAGTGCTATCCCTGGGCTTTGCTATTGCCAGCCAGATTTGCAGGAGCAATAGGAAGGTCAGCAAAGCAAAGCAGCCGGGGCTGGGTTATTTTTATTACACTCCATTTCCTTGCAGTGGGTCAAAATAGTACCTTCCAGATCTAATCAGCTCGAAATGCAAGTGAAAGCCGAACATGAAGTGAGTACCAGGCAAGGCTGGGGCAGTACTTCTGGTTAGTACTTGATCCTCTTTGTCATGCCTGGTTTCAGCAGCAAGAACTTTCGGCCCAGTGTGCACGCTCAAACCAGAAGATTTAAGTGCTAAGCCAGGATATCTCAACTCATTTTAACATCTCTAAAACCCCAAGGCAAGATCCCAGGGAAGACATTGTGTGGGGCTGCAGATGGAGCAGGAGGACTGAGCTGCTGAGAGCCACTGAACTGAGCTGAGCTCAGCCTTCAGGCCCAGGCAGTCCTTGGGGGTCCCAGCAATGGTGTCAGGCCAGGGTCATGCCCCTGCAGAGAGCTTCCAGGCCAGGGGACTGAAAACCGGCAAACCATCCAGCCCCAGCAAGCTCAACCATTGCAATGAGGAGAGATGGTCTGATTTGAGGAGCAGTTACTGGTACCAGTAAACATAGTGCAGTAGCTGCTCCCTGCCCATTTACTCTGCATCTGCTCATGAAAAACACCACTGAAAGTAGTCATGGGCCATTAACTTTGCCGGGCATTCCGAGACTGGGATTTGGATATTTTTTTTGTGTGTGTCAAAGATGGTTTTCCAAAGGGATGTATAACGCTGTTCATTAAAACCAAAAAACAAACAAACAAATCAACCACAAAAAAAACCACCCCCACCAAACAACAAAACAATAACAAACCAACCAAATAAAACTTTCTTGTTTTAATTTTCTTGTATAATTTTCTTACATAATTTAGAATTTGTTTCCCCTTCTCCACTGCCTGGAAGTGTGGGGCAGGGACCCAGCACAACATCTGGGAAGCTGCTGCTCTCCCCTGGCTGAGATGGATGCCCACATCAGCTCAGGTACCACTGGAGCTGGAGGGAGAGGTAGCTGCACTTGAAAACAATGCCTAAAGCAGTGTGTGCTTAAGGTTACCACCTCCCACGTGGTCCTTTACTCAAGACATCCTGATATTTTTCTAGTTATGGAACGGGGATTTGGGCTGAGGTTTACTCTCAGAAACCTAAGAAATATTTACCATTTTGTGTAATAGAAGCAGAGTTGAAATGAATGATTATAATAATATCTAGGCACTGTGTTTCTGAGATTTTGCTGCATGTAAACATAATCATAAGCATAATCAATGTCAGTGACTTCCATTTAATTCTCAGACACAGTCTGCATTTAAATGCCACACCAGATTTGACATGGCCAATGATAAATGGAATGCAATTAGTACCACTATTTGCTTTGATGATATACTAAATTATTTCTTACAACAGACCATTTATTATCCAATGCTAATGGTTATAATAATACTCTTGCATTTAATATGTGTAACATATCTTAAACTGTGCCAAACTGATAAGTTTCAAAAGGAGATATTAAAGTCTAGAAAAAAATCATTCCATGAATGACTTTCATCTAATAAATCCTTGTCAATTCCCAAGTCATCATTTTCACAAAGAAATCTTAAACTCTAAGAATTTTTTATGTATTTCTCATCATTACATAACTAAATAAATCTTAATTATGCTGCCTCTTAGTGATTTACAGTCACCTAATGAATATATAACCTTAAGAAAAATGTCTGAATTTAAATGTTCTTATGGCATTTTTAACATAATCCCTCTTCTAATGGTTAACAGGACAATGATTATTTGCCCCCCCCCCCCAATTTATCATGAGCTTATCATGGTAATTGCAAATTAATGAAGTGAGGCAGTCCCTGACAATACAAATATTTGATGTTATGAATTGTTAGCCCTTATACTGCAACATTGCTTGCTGTGGAGCTTACTCAACTGCTCTGCACTCTGAATTTCCATTACCACCCCTTTTCCTTCCTTGCCTGAAAACCTAAGTGCCTGCACTTAACTAAAAATGGCTTGCCCAAATTTTACCATTTCTTCAAGGTACTAAAGCTACCTTGTGAATGTCGGCTTTGATATTTCAATTTTGAAATTCCATGGTGGTAAAAGCAGGGCACGCATAAAATACTAGATCTCCAAGACTCTGGGCAGTCTTCCTGCAGAGTCAACTTCTACAGCGGAAAAAGCATTGAGTTTTTTAACATGCCACACTACCCTAACAGCCTCAAGTCTTTAAAGAAATAAAACAAAAAGGAGCAACACAAAATTGCCACAGGGAATTTAGAAATTCAACTGTAAGATTTATTAAAAAAGTAGTATCTTCATATTTTTCACTCATATTTGAATTTCCTCCTATCATCAAAGGACAGGTCTGTTCCACCTTAGTT